TTTCTGTAGAGTTCATCACTAACTCAATTCCTGCAAAAATACACTCCATATACTTTTCAGAATATCCACTCAATTATCCACTCAATTATCCACTCAATGCAATTTACTTTGATTCTATTTAAGGAAGAACCAGTTAGCTATATTTACTGTGCATGTGTTAAAAAAAGGATCTCTCTTGTCTGCTCTTCTTCCCTCCCTTCCACACTCTCAGAAAGTAAAAATCAACCAAACAAAACCTACACAAATGCCCAAAAGAAAAAGGTCCACATACAGTTTTACCTACAACATCAGAAAGAATGAGAGACAACCCTGAACTAAAATAGCAACATAAAATGATTTTGTATTTCAAGGACCAAAAAAAAGAGAATACCAACATCCCAGTAGCCAGCTCATGACATATGAAGCTCTGTATATAAACCAAAGTACCACTATCTCCAGAGAGCACTTTAATGACAGTATCAGTGTCTTTCTGTTGCTGCCTTTTGCACCATTTCTCTGTACAAATTGAGTGTATTGCCTGGCCTGAACTTCTCTAGCAAGTCTACACCTTTCTGTAATTTAACACTCAAACATAAACCACTGTTTTGTTTAAGGACACCAGTCCCATACCCTAACCATCTGGCTGAAAAAGGGAACTACTCTGACACTGGAAAGCTTGCACTGACGCCGTTACAATGGGGCCCTGCTTGCACAAAATTCTTCAAGTAAAGTTGTATTTATTAGAAACATGTAACTAAAACAAAGAAGAAATGATGTAATGGTAAATGATCAATAGGCAGAGTTTTCACAACTGGCAGAGAGCAACTTCAGTGTTGGACAAAAAAACCTGAGATCTGTCTCTTGCAAAGGGTGTTATTTATAACTTTATCTTCACCCTTAGAAAGCTCCCCTTCATGAAAGATTGAAAGGGCCACTAACCTCGTGCAATGGCCTTTCAGGCCTTACTGATTACCAGGTCTCACTTTCTGGTTCTGATTGCACTACAAGGCAAATATGATCATAACACAGGATATCATGCAGGCTACTTTTTTTACTATGCCACTATGTTGATTTTGGAGAAAAATAGAAGAAAAATTCATTTGTGGACGGATGGTACATGAAATGAAGCCTTCCAGCTAAAATAAGAATGGCATGCGTCCACCACAACTGTAAATTTTAACTACCGCTATTATTATATTATGTTAAACAACAGTAAATGCTACCACCAGTTCTACTCACAGAAATTCTTCTTATGCATAATATATGAGCAGAACAGGAAATGTGCCTTCAGGTTGGCAAGGAAAGAAAGAAACAGGTAGCACAAGTCACCTAACACTAAGGAACGTGATAGTCTATAGGAAAGCCAGAAATAAAACCAATATGCAGGGCCTGCTGCTGTCCTTTAACACTCACTGAAGCTTGATTTTTCTCTGTGACAACTTTAGCTCTAGTTTACATGAAAATCTGACCTTGTCTGTACTCTATTCTACAGGCAGGGAAAAAACAAGTTAGTTTTTCTGTTTCCACATTTTAAGAAAATACTTTAAGAAACGATTTTTCTCCTTTAGCAAAGGAGCACAGCCTTTTGGCTGTAGCATAATCACAACAGAAATGGACTTTTGTATCTTTGTTTATAAGACAGTCCTTTAAAAACGGCATTCAGTTTCTTGCTGCAAAGCACAATTTTGCAGAAAACATTATTTTAATCTCCTGTACTGCTGTGAAGATAATGATAATGGAAAAGACATACAGAAATAACATCACGTATGCCATCTGTTTAAAATAAGAATGCTAAAAAATATCTGTTTATTTCAAAACTTGTACTTATCAGAAAATTACAGGACTCAATTATGTTGGGCTCACTGTTGGCTTTGAATAAAGAAGTTTTTGCTGTTGCTGCTGCTATTTTTCTGTGAAAAATACTTCCCTAAGTTCACATCTGTAGCAACCTCATGTAACAGTAGAGTCACAGCCTGCTTCTAAAAGCTTTTTTATTATTCAGGTATAATAAAGTAGTGAAACGTTTCTATAGCACATGGAACCACTGCATAGCAACTTATTTTGTTGTTTACTCTAATGAATTTGACTATAAATACTTATGCCAGCACAGAATGGTCTACTTTAGTGAATACCTACTGTAGTATTCAAAGAGTCAGTCAGTTGTGACAGTAATACAACAATAGCCACTTCTCTTCAACGTGCCCTTTTAATTAACTGAAAGCACAGCCAACTGAAAGAGTCATTAAGAAAAAAAAATCACTTATTTTGTGAGTGGTGCCCATGCAACTCAATTATTACACCTGGCCTTCCAACACAGACACAGCTAAAGGCTAAGTGGTCTTTGCTGCATCAGAGTCAAAGCCCAGAATGTCCAATTCACACCAAAACCTCATTTACTTGAATGAGCTTTAGCAAATTGCGTGGGTTTCCAAAACCCATCACAAATATCTACTGTGTGCAGAGCTACTCCTGATCTAAGAGTGAAAAAAAAAAGAGAAGGCTTTTATGATTCTTCAGCATATCAAATGAAGCCGCAAACATGTGGTTTTAAACCTGAGAACAATAGATTAATTTTGCATGTTAAAATAAGAATGTATTAAAAGTGTATGGTATAATTCAGGACATCTTTTATTGTCAAGGGATTGGTTCACTTTTTCCTGCCTCTAAAAGGCAGATGTTTGGCCATGCTCCAAGAAAAATGGAGGCAGACATAAGGTCTGGCAAGAAAAATCAATGTTTGGCATTTATGGCTTCCTTAGAGATATGTAGAGCAGAAGAAAGTTGTCGTCTCAGAGAGATTAAAATCTGAATACGAGATATTACTATGACCACAACGCAAAATCTTGAGACATAATAACTGTTTTCAAGTGCATCCTACTAATTAAGAACTTGTTATTGCTTGCTGGTTTTGTCAAAGGATTTGAAAAGGATTTCCACGAAGGAAAACCAGCTGTTCCAACAGTAATAAGACAGCACATGGTAGTGGAGAGACAGTGCGATCCCTTCCAAAAAGGGCATCACTAGAAAACTTTGGTAGCGGAACGCAAGATTATATGTTGTGAGTGAAACTACACAGAAATTCAAACACAGATACCTTGGAACAAGTACCTTATCTGGACACTGGTACAGCATAATACTGGCTAAAAATATATGCAATGTTACACAGACCTGTTTCATAAGTGAAACTGTAGCAATGACAATAGTTAAGTTATGAACAGTCATCTCTACCTATTTAAAATCATGTAACGACTCAATAGACACTTTATTTAGTGATAAAGGGATGTCAATATTCAAATTAAGCAAACAGACCTGATACACATCTATCACAGAATGTGCATTGACTCAGGTTAATACCTGGGCTCTCAGATCATGGTTAGAAGTGAGAGAAATCTTTTTCAAAGCAGCAGCAAGACTAGTACAGTTTATTCAATAATGTAGTTAATACTAAAATAAAATAATAAATTCTTGATTGCAAATTAATATTCTTATTATAATCCTGAAAGGAACATAACTCAAATAAGCAATTGCATCTATAGAAAAGTAAGGAACATGAGAATGTTCTAAAGTTGCAAGTTTACACAATTGGTTATAGCCAACATGGGTTCACAAGGGGAAAGTCCTGTTTGACTAAATTTCCTATTATGACAAGTCATCTAGTTGACCAAGAGAAGCCAGCAGAAGTGGCGGTTTTGGATTTTAGCAAAGATTTTGAGAGACAACATCAAGGCTGCATACAACCTAGGCATGTCCATAATACCATGGGTGAACAATTGGCTGACGGGTCGGGCTCAAAGAGTTATAGCAAATGGAGTTACATCAGGCTGGTGGCCAATCACTACTGGGGTTCTCTAGAGTTCAATTTTAGGGCCAGTGCTCTTTTATGTTTTTGTAAATGAACTGGATGCAAGAGTCAAATGTACAGTAAGTAAGTTTGACAATACTAAATTTGGAGAAGCTGTGGGCTCTCTTGAGTGAGGGTGGAGAGGCCTTACAGAGAGATCTCGATAGACTGGAGAGCCGGGCAATCACCAACCATGTGACATTTAACAATATTAATTGCCAGATTCTCCACCTGGGACAGGGTAATCCTGGCTATACATATAAATTTGGGAGTGGGAGGGGTTGGAGAGAAGCCTCACAGAAACAGATCTGGAAGTTTGGATTGGTGGCAAGCTGAATGAGTCAACAGTGTGCCCTGACAGCCAAATGGGCCAACCGTGTCCTGGGGTGTACCAAGCACAGCACAGCTAGCTGGTTGAGGGAGGTGATCATCCCACTCTACACTGCACTCGTGTGGCCCCACCTTGAGTACTGTGTGCAGTTTTGCGCACCTCAATATAAGAAGGACATCAAACTATTACAGTGTGTCCAGAGGAGGGTGAGCAAGATGGTGCAAGGCCTTGAGGGCAAGACTTACAAGGACTGGCTGAGGTCACTGTGTTTGTTCAGCTTGGAGAAAGCTGAAAAGTGACCTCATTGCAGTCTACGACCTCCTTAAGTGGGGGAATGGAGAGGGAGGTGCTGATCTCCTCTTTCTGGCAAACAGTGACAGGACACAAGGAAATTGTGTGAATCTGCATCACGGGAAGCTCTGATTGGACATCAGTAAAAGGTTCTTCAGTGAGAGGGTGCTGGTGCTCGGTCACTGGAACTGGCTCCCCACAGAAGTGGTCAAGGCACCAAGCCTTTCGGAGTTCAAGGAGTGTCTGGATGATGCTTAGTTGTATGATTTAGCTTTATGTAGTCTTGTGAGAAACAGGAAGTTGGGCTTGATGATCCTTATGAGATCCTTCCAACTCAAGATACTCTATGATTATATGATTCTAATTACTTTACACACAAAAATACTAGATTGATTCGAAGTATTTGTGTAGCAAGGTTTAATTTAATTTATCAAAGCACAATCCAAATTTTGACAAGTCCTTAGGAATTAATTTGGTCTGTGAGAGTTCACTGGCAGTTACTGGAGGCTCAGATTCCTTCACTCTGGGTGCTCAGTTATACAAAGGAAGTCACCTCACCGTAGCTGTTTACAGAACGGCAACGCTCTCTCACCACCACCTTTGCAGGATGCTCCACAAGGATGCCTTCCTCCACCCTGCGGCTGACCTGGAGAGTCATAGGCAGAGTTTCCTGCTTTGTGGGGCTCCACAGGCTGGTGAAGTGAGTTTCAGGGCACAAGGAGCTGAGCATGGCTCTAAGGCCTCATCTTACTGAAAAGTGCTGCAAGTAACACCAAATTTCTCCCACCCCTTCTCTTTCAACAATAAGATCAATACCTATGAACAAGAAAGATTTGGTCAAATCATACCTTATGTTGGGGGTTTTTGATGCCCTTAGGTGGAAGAGGCCAATTTACCACATCATAGAGGGTTTTGCTTTCTAATGGATCAATCATTTTAGCAAAGATCAAGTTCTTTTAACACATAAGGTATTTAATTAAATAAATAAATAAATAAATAAATCTGAGATTTCACTAGTCTAAAAAACCAAACTTCTGGACACACAGAGTTGGAAATTACTTGACCACTGCTACCATAATTCTCAGTAAAACTGCAATGCAAGTAGAAGAGAAGGGAACATGCAAGGATAGAGAACAAATAATTGTTCTCATTTCCAGAGCTCCTCCCTTTCTGGATTCTGTGCTTCATCTGATTCTGGACTAACTCTAATGAGTCACAAGAAATCAATTTATTTCTGAAACCATGATTCCCGCCAGCAATGCTTATATTAGTTCTATCATTTCCATAGCAACTAATGTACTTGGAATGAAAGAAAAACTAATAAGATAAATGGGAAGCATAAAATATCTTGTGATAGAGTGAGTGTGCACAGCACTAATTGTTAAAGATCTGCTTTGGAATTAGTTGCAAGTTGCCTTCTTCAGTAATGGCTGAAGTAACATAACGGCAATGACTGAGAAGGAACATGGGTCCACATGTCTGGATTACTAACACTTCACATTTCACCAGTGAAAAAAACACTACTGATGGATTACTGTGTTTTCAAAGCAAATCCACCTTTATTATATTTGAAATAAAATCTTCTCTGATCACTTTCTGAGTGGTGTTTCTGTTGAAATCATTAAGAATTTGGGTCACTAAAGAACATTTTTTGGTACTGTTAAGGATCTTGCCCTTTAACTTGAAGTTGAGCTGTCACTTCACACTGACCTGGGGATTGCATACAACCAGTTCCACATTGGAAAGATACTGCATGTTAGAAAAAGGTGATGTCATGAAATGTAAGGGATAAAATATTTTTAAATCTCCACAGCTTCTTAACTTACCAGATCAAAATCATTCTAAAGTGATTCACTGATTTCATAGAATTAAGAATCATTCAGGTTAGAAAAGACCTTTAAGATCATTGAGTCCTACTCTTACCCTAACACTGCCAACTCAACCCCTAAACTACACAGAATCACAGAATCATTAAGGTTGGAAAAGACCTCTAACATCATCATGTACCTAAGTGCCACATCTACAGATCTTTTAAATACCTCCAGGGATGCTGACTCCAGCACTTCCCTGGGCAGCCTGTTCCAATGCTCGATAACCTTTTCAGTGAGGAATTTTTTCCTAATATCCAACCTAAATCTCCCTTGGAACAACTTGAGGCTGTTTCCTCTTGTCCTATTAATTGTTACTTGGGAGAAGAGACCAACACCCACCTCACTACAACCTCCTTTTAAGTAGTTGTAGAGAGCAATAAGGTCTCCTCTGAGTCTCCTTTTCTCCAGGCTAAAGAGCCCCAGTTCCTTCAGCTGCTCCTCACAAGACTTGTGCTCCAGACACCTCACCAGCTTTATTGCTGCTCTTTGAACACAATCCAGCACCTCAATGTCCTTCTTGCAGTGAGAGGCCCAAAACTGAACACAGTATTCAAGGTGCAGGCTCACCAGTGCTGAGTACAAGGGGATCACCATTTCCCTGATCCTGCTGGCCACCCTATTTCTAATACAAGCCAGGATGCCATTGGCCTTCTTGGCCACCTGGGCATACTGCTGGCTCATGCTCAGCTGGCTATCAACCAGCATCCCTAGGTCCCTTTACTCCACTCTTCCCCAAGCCTGGAGAGTTTCAAGGGTGGTTGTGACCCAAGGGCAGGACTCAGCATTTAAGTCTTGTTGTTGTATTTGATTAAATACTTAAGACAGGTGGAACACATTTCAGTACATATGCTGTTCTCTAAAATATTCCAGACTTCTATTAAGCAGCCCAGGTCAGCCAGTCACAGAGTTCAAGAGCAAACTCAAATCAGGAGTAAGTTCATGAGATAAGCACGTGGGAGTCAAACTTAACTACTTTCAAGTAAAGACAGCAGGATGCACAGCATCTATTAGATCTTATTTACTAAAAAACAGAGACAAGGAAAACACTGGAACACAGACATCTTTTTTCAATTACTACTTTTGATTGATAGATATTTTTAAAGCAAGATTACTGCATTAGTCCAGTCAGAACTATCATCCTTACTCTGTCAATAAGCACAATTACAAAGTACATATAAAACTATGAATGGGAAATTTTGTCAGAAGATTTTTCGTAGAAGATACATATATCATAGATTAAGACATCTAGGACAGGCGAGTATTTTATTACTTGAGAGGCACACAAAATGGGATCTTCATCCCACTCACTCTCTGCTCTATGCTGCTGTTCCACCTTTGTTATTTATTTTACAAGCAGAATTAAACAACTTTCTACTTGTAGTTTTGTCTGAGAAATAACCCTAACGCTTCACCACATTCCTTATTATTGTTGTATGTGAACTATTAAAGCTTCATCTGTGGGCATTTGCCATTTCAGAGTTAAACAAAACCACCTTTAAATGAGGTATTACTTGCCCAACAGAGAAGATAATCTGGTATTCTTCTCACTGGTGCCTTATGTCATGCAGTTGAAACAGAATATCAGCCTAACTCCTACTGCTATAAGATTGACTTAGCAACGACTGGTTAAATGATTGCAAGCTCAATACAAAATAGTGATAATTATTTAAAGTCCTTGAAAAGATTTGTAATGCTTACCTCAATGACTCTTGTTTGAAAATCTTCATAAGTTTCTGTTGAGAGAAAAATAGAGTATTACATTTCTTTGTATTACTTACTTATCAGCACAGCTTTCTGGTATAATTTTAAAAGGATACAATTTTTATGTAACTGTAATTTATAAATTTATTTCAGCTGTAAGTAGAAAACATAAGAATAATTTGAACAAACATATCTAAAGTGAGCTTTATTAGTTGCTTCCTTTTGAAAAGATCTCAAACATGTTTTTCTTACTTGACTCAATTTCTTCAATTTCTTTTAGAATAAGGTCAGTGAAAAAACACGATATAGCTCTTATTTATAAAGCATAGGGTTTTTTTCATTACTTCAGTAAAATCAATATATGTTAAGAAAACTAGCTTAAAAAATCCAGTCAAAAAGATAACTTCCCAGAAAGTTTAATACTACACTTGTTATAACTACAACGCAGCTCCTGTTATAATTAAGAGATGACAACTGGTAAACAGATGCATTTTGCTCAATTAGGGACCTCAACCTCCAGCTGCAACCAGTATCTCATCTTTTTAAGTACCATATGTGCAGGGAACTAAGATACAAACAGCCTCTAAAGACTGTTCAACCTAAATAACCAGAGTAGCACAAAGGAAGAAAAAGAGTATTTTTTTTAAATGGTAAAGCAAGATATACAAATTCAACTACTCTGAACACCACATAAAAAGCAAAGCTGATAGTAAAACTGAGACATCCTCAGAATCTGTTGTATATGGTGATCACAAGCTAAGCTCTACATCCTCTGCAAGTTATACTGGAAATTTTCTTTTGGAAGTCACTGCAACTCACCACTGACATTGAAACATTTTTGTAAAATTATATCTGATAGTCTTCCCAACTCTTTCCGACTGCAGAAATGCTATGAAAAATAAGTCATGCACAGCCTGTCATGAGAATAGAATGTTTTGGGTTTTCACTGGCTGGCGGTATAAACTGCCATCTTCACTAAATACTGCTCTAAAACTGTAAATGAACGCCAAATTTCATACACACTGAGCAAAGGCTGTAAATGGTTAAAAAATAAGAAGGTAAATCTCCAAATGGGTGATTTCTATCACGCCCAAACTATTATCCAAGATTGTTCAGAATATTCCGAAACTTGTACTAGACAATCAGTAGGGATTCAAAGACACTGCAGGTATTTCTTGATACATATTTCTGTGAAATTCCACAAAGGATAATACATAGCCACTTCAAATAATCAAGAGTCACACAGCCAGACTTTTCCCCCTCATTTAGATTTCAAATTCTGCCTGAAAAAATGTCTTTGCAATCAAAGACAATTACAGCATCATTTGTTTCGTCTAGTAACAGTTAAGGTGTTTTGCACTGCAAAATAAAGATCGCTTCTATGTCACATCTGTGTCCCAAGTCTTTTCATCACAGCGGTAATGAAGCACTTAGTTTCTGCTCTGTCACTAGAAGGGACTTCAAAGAAATAAGATGTTTTTGAAATGCTTTACAACATTGCGAGGGAGGAAAGAGCACAAGTACTGGAGAGCTCTGGGCATGACAAGGGCATCTCCATGTACTGGCTCCAGAGACAGAGTCACAGAATCACAGAATCACAGA